TACAGCAACCTGTGCTACAGAGGTATGGTTTTGAGAGGAAACCCTCTTATGAATGCTGGTTTATCGCTAAGGGAGGCAACACAATATATCTCTAATTTACTTTCTGTGAAACAGAGATGTCACTAAATGGTAGCAACGGACTACAGACTATCCCAGTTAATAGTAAAACACAGAGGTGAGAGAAATTAGACTAATTTTAAATTAGTTTTTCTGTTAGGGAAAACTTTTCATGATCTTTCTAAACAATAAAAAAAGAAACAAAAATGAAGTAGAACTAAGGCATTCAAGAGAGAAAGCGATTTTGGCTTAAATCAGGATGAAAAATGTAATCAGAAATGAAAATGTTGCTCTTTAGAGTTACTGCTGGCTGATAAAATGCAAAGAATCACAGAAGAATGAGGACTTACTCTATGAAGTTCTTGGAATGAGATAAGAGAGATATATTTTTACTTTTCCATATGTTAGATTACTCGAGCAGGTTGGATCACTCAGTTAATAATATATTTTAAGTATTCAAAGTACAAGACATTCTAGTATAGGTAGAGGCAGAATAAATCCTCTACTTCCTCTTAAAAACTATTCCAGATTTATGAAATTCTGAGTTTCCTTGACAATCCTGAAACACAACTTTTAGCCTGTAAAGACTGTGTAAGTATTACTTACACAATAACACTATTTCTACATGACTTTCTTCCCTTTTGTAACTTCTGAACTCACTGGCCAATTTTGATTTACAAGCTCAAAAATTTCTTACAGAGTTACATAAAGCAGACATTCAGGAGAGGAAAGGTGAGTCTGCAAGTGTCTCTCTTGAGAAAAAGGCTAATACACACATCCTTCATCAGGCAACAGAGAATCCACATGGGGCCCGGAGGTACCAGATACCAGGATGCATCAGTTTGGCTCTGCATGAAACTTCTCATTAAACACCTTTTCACATGACCACATGGGACACAAAGTAGGTTTTGTTTTAATAGGCTTTGTCCATAGATGTCTTCAGTACTACCTGCAGAATGTTGCCTGGCTACTAAGCAAAAACCTGCAACGTTAGAAATGACGTTACAGAGCCAAAGGTAAGACACAGCAAGGAAACTCAGTCAGCCTCAAACGAGGCTGCAGAAGTACGGATCTAATCTGACCTCAGTAAAAGAGTTTTCATGAGAGGAGAATGATATAATAAAAATAGATGGCAGGTTGTTTTTTTTTTTTTCTTACATATCAACTCCTCCCTGGAAACACAAATACGAAAGCAATTAACGATCATGAGAGATAATCTAACAAGCAAAGGGAGGGATAAAGTTAAGAGATACCCAGCAGTAAACAAAATAAAGAATGAAAAGTTAGCAAGAAACATTAATTTCTTGTATGTTATGTCAAGAATGTTAATTATTGTTAATTAAATGTTAATTAAAATGTAAATTATCTCAGCTGTGGCACAATTACTACACTCTGAGAAAACTCACTTGATAAAATAAGTCAGGCCAAGACCTGTTGTTAGAGCATAAGGATAAAAATGGAAATGTTAACAAATTTCCAAATGTGCTGAAAGGACACGAATACTCCAGACTTCAATTTAAAATCATGTAAATCCAACCAATTCCTTATTTACCATTTCAGCTCCTTCTTTGCTTTCCTTTAAGCTCTGAAGTTGTTGCTGTAGCTGTTCATTTTCAATGCACTTGGCTAGCAGGCACTCCTTAGCCTCCTTAAACTTTAACTCATAAAATTCTCTTTCTTCTTTCTGCTTCTCTCGCCAGATGGAAAGTTCCTCATATCGGTCCTTCATAGCTTGGTTATGCAACTTCATGGCTTCTAAATGACAGCCAGAGACAAGACATTGATTCACATTAATAGTCTGACAATGAAACAGCAGATTTCTACTACACTGAGCTCAACATTCTTCAGTATCAAATGCAATATAGCTAGATAGGGCTAGCAATAACTGGGTATGAAATGTGAACCTACTTCTTGTGTACCTTAAATACCAAACCAGAACTAAACTTATTATAGTCCGTTAGCTCTGTCATAAATAGTGTCAAATCTGCTGCTGAACTCACATGCCCACACTCTCTCACTTCTTATTTCTAAACCAAGAAGTATAAGCAAGGTACTTGGTATCTTGCTGCATGTGCTATTTACATGATCAACCCAAATAAACTATTGAATTCAGATTCTGACACTGTTGAGACTTGATAGGGAAAACAGACATCCTAGACTGGTAAATTACTGCATGAAAACAGATGCTATCAAATCAAATGTCTCAAATATGCCCAACAATGCTATACTTGAACATTTGGTTAAGATTTGATTGAAAGCAGTGAAAAAATATACCCAACAAGTCACAGCAAAGTCAGTTCTCCCTGGTTGAGAAGCCATGTGTATGTAGTAAAGTCAGTGTGTAACGTCAGTCTCACTACTGAAATGCTTACAAGATTTTTTAGGAAGAGTCAGTGAAAGTATTTCAGACTTGATTTTTTTAAAGCAACAAGCTCAAAGCCAGTTGTTTGAAAATCTTTTATACATTTTCCAGTAACTACCATTATGTCCTGATGTCATATTATAAACTGCCAACAAATCCTTCAGGCTATGTAAATAAATGCAGCTCTGGAGAATGATTCTGCAAGATATGAGTTACAGCAGCTGTAAATAAGGTCCCGAAACATTATCTTATGATACAGGACCTTTTAGCAATATACCAGAGGTACTTCTAGAAACAACTTTTCTGCCAGATACCCATGAGACTCCAAGGCTGAGAACTTGGACCACGTCCAAAAATGATTCAGACAGAATGTATACACTAGTGTAAAACCACCGCACACAGGATATGCAACTTTGTGCTGTGCTGCCATATAAACAGTGAGGTATCTCTGTCTTTTACACAGAAAATTCCCAATCCCTTGGGTTTTGCTCTATCCATTAAAAAAAAATATCTGACACCTAAACTCCTGGCATCCAAACTCAAATCTATCGCGCCTGAAAGACTCAAATCATTAGGCGTTTTCAGGGAAAACTATCAGTTTCTCCCAGACCATGCCATGGCCACCACTTCATTTTGAAGTACAGAAGGTGCTGACCCATCTAACCATTCATAGTCATCGCTACGTACAATGCAAAACAGCCTGCTCCAATTCCCCTTTCTGCCCGAGAGGATGCAGCTCCTTTCAGACAGCATCCCAACCCAAACTGTTCTCGGCACTGTGCAATAATACCCACTCCTTCGGATTCAGCTATGGAAAAATGTTAGACTGCCCAACAGTCCTAAACTACAAACCAAAAAAGCTTTTAGAGGTTGATGAGCAAAGAGAATATCATAGCAAGAGATTTTTCATCTCACCTCCTAAAATACAGTGCTATACTGCTTATATGCCTAATTCTAAAGCAAATAAGTCACCCGTACATTGGGCTGTTCTCCCCTCATCTTCCACACCGATTCAATTTGATGTGTCCTGTCAAACTGGCCTCGCCATTTGCAGAGTCTCTTATGCAATCAATGCTACCCAGGTATAAAAAGTTATCCAGCAAGGGCAAATGAGCACAGAATTCATACTCATAGGACAAAAAAAGGTCATAGAAGAGACTCAGGGCTTCTGCATTTCAAGACCAGTTCAGATGCACATTCACCTTTTAAGTCATTGTTCTCAGCGATTAGTTCTTTCATCTGTTGTACCATCTCTTCTGGGGTGTAGGTACTAAGGGTAGGGGCTGCCATGCTGTCTGTTCTGTTTTCCATTTTACTCCTAGGATGCTCTCCATTTTCAGTAGGACAGCTCTTCAACTTGCTGGACATCTCTGAAGCATCTACTATGAGGTTTGCAAAGAGAAAACTCTTTAATTTCTTGCCCAACAGATGTTTATAAAGAAAACATAAGCATACCTTCATTCTATTATGACAAGCAAGGCGCACACATCTTGTCATAACACCCTGGCATCTTCCAGTCCCTCTGACCCCGCTACACCAGAGTCTCCACATCCCATTAACCCCTCCCAGGCCGGCATGAATAAAGCAACTGATCCCCGAGACGTCTCTCGGGTTAAGCAACCCTTCCTCGGCAGCGCCTTCCTCTGGGAAGGAGACAAGAAGCACCCCTGTGTCACCCCCTCTCTCCTCTCTCCCTCAGCAGCTCTGGCATGCGCAGCCCGACAGGGTTTCGGGGCGCCGGCGGCTCCCGGCCCCGAGGG